AGACGAATGGCCACAACAAAAACAAAACCAAAAAACAAAAAAACAACAACAAAAAAAAACGTCGTCCCCAGACTATGTTTGACTATGTGTGAAAAGATTCCCCATGTAGAGGGGCACGCCCCACTTGAGGTCAGAGAGCTCTTTGCGCCTAAGGAGGCCTCAGATGCCCCGAGGTGGCCCCCATTGATGGCGCAGTGTCTCTCAAGCTGGACCCAGCCAGGACCTCCGAAGGGTCGTGTTTGTGCCGAGGCTGCTTCTTCGACTGCCGACCCTGCTGCTCCTCCTCCTCCTCCTCCTCCTCCTCCTCCTCCTCCCCTCCCCCTCCTCCTCCCCCTCCCCTCCCCTCCCTCCCCCCCTCCCCTCCCCTCCCCCCCTCCCCTCCACCCCTCCCTCCCTCCCTCCCTCCCCTCCCCCTCCCTCCCTCCCTCCCTCCCTCCCTCCCTCCTCCTTCTCCCTTCTCCTTCCCTCCCCCTCCCTCCTCCCTCTCCTCCCTCTCCCTCCTCCCTCCCCTCCTCCTCCTCCCTCCTCCCTCCCCTCCTCCCTCCTCCCTCCTCCTCTCCTCCCTCCTCCTCCTCCTCCTCCTCCTCCTCCTCCTCCTCCTCTTCCTCCTCCTCCTCCTCCTCCTCCTCCTCCTCCCTCCTCCTCCTCCTCCTCCTCCTCCTCCTCCTGAGAATAGGCTAGCGCCGCTACGGTCTCCCCCCTTCTCTCCCCCCCGTCAGCCCCCGTGCCTCCGCTCCCCGTCCGCTGCTTATCCCTGCGCTGTCGGTGCCTCGACCCGAACCGCCGCTCGTTTTGCTCGCCCGACCAGCTGGGCCAGCCCGAGGCGAGCTCCAGATGCCGGGGAGACGTAAGACTCGGGTTCGGGGGACTCGGGTTGGCCTGACGGGCCATCATGAAAATGACGCGACCCAGTCTGACATGTATTGCGAGCTAATTACCGCCGCAGACATCCCACGAAAACTGGGCCGTCAAAATCCAGGGCGCACTCGTCAAAAAGCGTCGGCAACCCCGAGTTCCGACGTGCTCGAGTCTGACGCTTCCTCGACAGAGGCTCTCGGATTTAGAGGAACCAAAAGTTGCATAAGCATACACGTTCGGAGCTCCGCACGGACTTACTGGATCGGCTGCACCCCCCCCTTCCTGGGCGCGCGGAGCGCGCCAGGAACCTGCGCCGGAGGCGCCGAACCGAGGGGCCCAGCGCCGACCCGAGAAATCAGAGCGGAGCTCCGAAAGCTCGCGTGCATGTCGTTGCCCCCTCCACAGGCGATCGAAATCTGCCGCCTGTCTGACTACCTACCAGACCACCCCAACCCAACCCGAAGACCCGAATTTGACCCGAATTTCGGGTTGGGGGGGGGTACGGATTCCATGTGTTTTCTCAACGTTCCCCGACCCCCCCCCCACTGAAATCGAGGATAAATTGAGGCCTTCGGGTTGAAATGGGGTGGTTTGGTGGGTGGTGACTTTCTTTCTCCTGGTGCGCTGGCGAGGCGGGCCGGCCTGTTCCGCGACCCGCCGCGCGTGCCGACGGGCCCTTGCGTCTCCTCACTGGCCCGGGTGGCGCCGGCGGCTGGCGCCCGTCGTCTCGCCCATCTCGATGGTGGCGAGGTCCTCGCCGGCCTCGCGGAGCCCGTCGTCCCTCCCGAGCTTGCTGTTGAAGCTCTCCACCTCTGCTCGGTAGGCCTCGCAGCGTCGGCGACTCTCGGAGAAGAAAAACAGGCGTGAGCATCAACTGTTGGCGCTCCGCGCGGGTTTCTTGTATCTGCGCTGGGGCCCCGTGGCGGCGCCTCCGGCGCCGCCCCTGGCGCGCTCCGCGCGCCAGGGAGGGGGGTCCAGCGCAGATCCAAGAAATCCGCGCGGAGCGCGGAAAGTTTATGTCTATACGGGTTTTTTTCTTCGAGACTCCGAAAGATGTGGTTTGCGAAGGGTGTGGTTTGCAACCCGCACCCTCGTGTTCGGGCGAGGACCTCGACAGAGCTCGCCCACGGCGCCCCGGGGAGGCCAGGGCGACGTGGTGCCCCCCCCAAGCCCCAAAGACGCAGATCGCAAACCACACCCTGGCATAACCACACCCTTTATAGACGGCGGCTTTGGGTAGCCACGTGCGAATCCACACCTGCATGTCATCGTTGATCCGACCACTATCCCCAGCGGCGTGGCCTAGGCCCCACTGGCCGATTTACCCCCCTAGATGGGGATATAGGCTGTTCCCTTCGGGTTTCGAGGGGTGTATCCCCAACTGGGGTAGTAATTAGGTGGGGGTCTCGAAGGGGATGAGGATGTGGATGGGGGTCGGTTCAACGATACTGAATGTCGGATTTCTGAGTTAAAGTTGGCCAGGGTTCAGAATTGAGAGGGTGACTGCAGCCAGGTGAGCCCCAGCAGGGGTGTCCCAGCGCCGGCCGGACCCGCAGGGGTATAGGGTTCGCACTTGGCTTGGTCGTGGGCCTCTGGCAGCTGGCGCCCGTACAGCTTCTGTGCGGTGATCAGCTGGTCCAGC